CAATTTTTTTTATCGAAATGATTGGAAATCAACCAGAGAACATGAAAAAAGTGTCTTTAATATGTCTTGATATATCAAATTTTCATAAAATCCCGTTTATTAAACTGGCCAATGCAATTACGCCCTCTAGGGGCGGTTCTGGAAACTTGAAAATAATTTCCAGAGATTTCCCTTGACCACTTTTATCATTCATATTTTTTTTTCGAAACCTGTACGGCAAGTAGTTTCCAAGATACAGCCGGCATCCTTTCTTAGTGGTACACCCGGTACATAAAGGACAAATCAGATGATATGCCCCAAATCGTCAATTCTTTCAAATTGTCACTATTAGAAACCTAAATCGAAAATTCAATCGAGATCGAGTCACTAACACCTTGTTTGAGAGGTGTTCGAAAATGAAAAATACAGGTATATTGATGGAAAATATAACATTCCACGAATCTTATTGAGACGTTTCGGGAACGCATCTGCTTCAGTTTTCAACATGAAAATGGAAAAATGATTTTTCGTAAATTGCCTTCGGATTTGTTCTCTTTTAGACGAGAAAAACTTCTCTGATTTGGCCGTAGGGATGGATGTACAGGGTGACTGGAATTCGAGACTCGTCATTGGGAACGATTAGGAACTTGTAAACCGTAAGAAATACAGGGTCGGTTAAATCATGGCAAAGTTACGCAATTTCATGCATAACAAAATGCCGTTTTGAAATGTGAGAAATTCCGAATAGTCCTAAAGATTTTTGGAAAAAAGCGAATATTCACGATTTCATTTTCATTTTATTATCTATCTATTTGAATAGAAATAAAAATAGTAAATAACATAAGAGTTGTAAAACGATATATTACGCACGAATTGCGTAATTGCTTTAGAACTCGAGAAATGTACTATACTTTTTCTACGACTACACTATATGTCCTTCAGGATAGTACGAATATTGTGTTGACACAAATATCGAATACGTCTCCCGTTACTTTGAGCTTACTGCATGAAAAGGTCAAATTTACTATTCTTGTACTTTTTTATTGGTAAATGGCATAACGAGAACCCCATTTGATGAACATATCAAATCAACGTTCATAATGGATTATTATCTTCATGCACTGTGCAGTTTTTGATTCAATAATAGAATATTCTCCGAAAATAACATGATGCTATTACTGAGTTTCCTTTCCATGAGTTTTTTGTAAGGGATTTCGAATTTTACACGGGAAAACTCATCTGTTGCCATTTTTGATCTTTCCAGAATTTCTAGTGGTGTATATACACACCGGCAAAAAAAACCGGCCACCAAAAAAATTAGCCAAATTGTTCGTCGTGTAACTTTTTTAATTTTTGTGTGCATGTTTCGGAATTTTAGCCTGAATATTGGTTCCTAAGGAAAGCTGATGGCTTGGTCATTATACAGGGAAGAAGAAAAGAGACTTTTTCACCCTGAACTTCTTAACGCCCTGTGGGAAAGGTGAGTGGTTTCACTTAGCTTCTTTATGTTTTGGATTGAAGTGTGATCCCTTCTGAACATAATGGTTTCTGATTCACGTCGATAACCACTTTGTCATTCAAGGGTTTCAAGAGAATATGGATTTTTAAAATTTCTATTAACAATAATTCAGAACCATGTTCTCCAACCTTCTGCTTCATCATGTTTTGAATTAAAGTGTGATCCTCTTTAGTCCCTTCTTCATACAGCGGTTCTTGATTCATGTCAATATCTTCTTTTTGAGAGAAGATACAAGTGTTTCAAGAAAGTATAGAACTTTTTAACTTTCAATGACAATAATTCAGAACCTATATGGAGCATCTTAGGGGTGACCTCCAGAGGCTCATTCGCTATCGTCCAGCTTTATCAGAGACTCTTCAAGAGCTACGATCCGCCCTTCAAGGAGAATTTTAGGCAATTCCTCAAAACTACACTTGAGAAATTTGATCAATTCGATGCCACGGCGGTTGAATGCTGTAATTCAACCTCGAGGAGAGCATCTCGTTATATTGACTAAAGGTCTGCTACTTGTTCGTTTTATTAATAAATTTTCCGTGCTAAATTCTAATAATGTGAGGTAGAAATAAGTGTAATGGTTCTGAATATTGATAGAAAAAATTGAACACCTGTAACAATACTTTCCTGAAACACTAGTATCATCCCTTAAAAATAAAATATTGATGTGAATCAAAAACTATTGTGTTAAGAAGGGATTACACTTCAATACGAAACATAATCAAGCCATGTCCAACCACGCAATTTTGCCACAGGGCTTTGAGAAGTATATGGTGAAAGAGTAACTTTGGTTTTTCCCTGTATAATGATAAAGTCATCAGCATTTCAGGAAAACTGATATGTATGCCAACATTCCGGAATATAAATTTACGTTTTGATCGGAATTTCACAGAAAAGATTAAAAAAGTTACAGGCTGAACAGTTTGGGCAAATTTTTTGGTGGCCGCGGGTTTTTTTGCCGATGAATGTATAATAATATTCTCATCGTCATCGCTCGACATTCTTGAACTGAAAATGTGAAATATCAACAGCAAATAATCATTTTCAAGAAGAATCGATAGCTTGCTTTCGGTTTGATAATTTGATTTATTGATGAAAAGATAGACCTACCTAGCTACTGACATTAACTGAAATTGACACATCGCGTCTAAGCAACAAAACAAAGTATTCTATCAACAAAACTATATGAAAACTATGCGATATCGCTCGCTTTACGCACAGGTGCATGTCTGTATTTTGCAAAATAATGATGTGCATGCCAAATAACCTTCTATCGGGGAAGTTTCCTATATCGAGGTTCTTATCTCACTGTGAAGTTTGTAAGATCAAATTTCACTTCAGAAAAAATAAAAGAGGAACCGAGAGAGGAACTTGTCTCCTCCACCATTCCTATGACATACCTTCTGAAAATCCAAATTCACACAGAGTTAGAATACGATTCCCTGTGCCAGTACGATTTTGCCGACATCATCAAAATATGTCTAGATTTCCGGAAATTGTTCTTTGAATGCATAATAACTATATCATAACAGCAATCGGATATAATAGGTCCTTCCGAGGGTCCTTCAATGCTACTTGTCAAGTATTATGAATTATTCCAATAAATCTCTCATTGGCTGAAGGAACTTGATCACTAATAAAGATTGATTATGATATTTTGCGATAGTATCATTAATTTTCCACTATCGTTATACTTATTACAATATATGTTATATGAATAACTTGTCAGTCATTGTCTTGTCAATGAATTGCAGATTATATCTTGCAACAGCGCCAAATACTTCGAGTCCGTCCACACCAACAAGAGGATGTAGCCATGAGTGTCGGCTTCATTCTTTTATGACCGATGACAGTGAATTGAGAGACAGTATCATTGAATGTAGCCGATAGTAATTCATTGATTCAATTATATGTTCGTTTAGGATCGAGCTCTATTCGAGATATTTCAATGCATAAATAAAAAAACCATAACCTGTCAGAATGAAGTCAACTACCCTCTGCATTCCTGCTCCGAGTGCATATGTGGTTATGTATGTTTTTGTTTACCATTTTTACTTCTTCTTCTATTTTTTTCATTCGTTAGCTATTCGCCATAATCCTTGCCAACAGATCTTCCTCATTACGAACAGGTGTTTCGTACACTAAACTTCACAGATAACCCCAAAGAAAAAAATCTAGAGGGTTTAGATCAGGAGAACGAGCGGGCCAGGCCACGAGAAGTTGTTCCTGAAGGACTCGGTGTATCGTCATCCTAGAGGATCTCATATGGTGTGCAATTGCACAAACACTTGGAGATTGATTTTCTTTCATGCACTGTAAAACTTCTTCAAATTGAACTGTACCCAGCCAACACATCTGTGGCATGACATATCTGAGATGTCGCGTTTAGGTAACAGTGCGATATCACAAACGTTCCATCGCTGTACAGAAGCAGTCACATCTGCGACATGACATTTCTGAGATGTCACGATGAGGCAACACTGCGATATATCACGAATGTTGCATCGTTGCGATGTACAGATCGAAACACTGCAAGAATATTTCAAACATTTGTTATTTAGGTTCTTGTTCGGTGAAAAAGAATACCTGAATATACGTTATTCAACAAATTAAGCTAAATTGGCAAATATTTGCGCGTGGCCGCAACTGAATATATGAAATACCGAGTAAAAAACTTCTTCAATTATTTGCGTATGATTAATAGTAGATTATACCACGAGTCAATAATGATAGCTATTATTCTCGAGGATTTTTTACGAATCGAGCCGCGTTAGCGGCGAGGGAGTAACATTCCGAGAGAATAATAGCCATTATTGCGAGTAGTATACTCTACTTTATTTGCGACTAATATATAAACTTGTGGTTTTTGAAGTATAATGCCATATATTAATCCCGCAGGGAATAATGGCGAGGGATTAATAGTCTTTATTCCCTGCGGGATTAATATATGGCATTATACTCCAAAAACCACAAGTATAATATATTAGTCGTGAATAAATGGATTTTTGTTCTACAGCTAGTTTTTTTGCTCTTTAGCCCAAACGGCGAATTTGCGGACATACAAAAACATAAACAAATATGCTTGTTTTGATGTCCTCAACCACCCGTTGAAGTTTGTATATAATCTGGCCACCTGGCCATATTCCAATAATTCAACTCATAACGGAAAAGTTATCAACGATACACTATATCATGTAGATTATTTTCATTTACCATATTATCATCCATATCAAATACATCTAGCTTTCCAATCGGATTGATTGATACCAGTGTATTATAGTGGTTATAGTGGTACCTACATGAATGCATACAAATGGGATTACTACTACAATGTGGAGTCATTGACTAGCACATAATAATGCAATATCAAATAAGGAATTATTGCAATAAAACAAAAGCATGATTCACTTCCACAGATCCATATTTGTCTAACGATATTGATGACGTGAATTAAATACATTGTATGCAGGTGCTTGTTTGAAATTATAAAATTTCTTTATTGTTACAGGTGTTCGTTTTCAATAAAACCAACTATCAACATATCAAAGACAGACTGAAAAAGCAAGGCATTGCCCACATAAGTAACTTGGAGCTGTCGCAGTACTTCAGCCCTTGGTACGCGGAACACATGGGTTCCATCAAGGTGGCTAGTGGCAACAGATCGGTAGCAAACTGGACCTCCTATAAACTGAGGAATAACTATTACATTTTCACGTATCCGTCATTACTCAAAATCCATGGTGTGTATAAAAATACAGTATGTATCAGTCAGATAAAAAAAATGCAATAATGAATAAACGGGGGAGTGTTCGAAAAAACGCTCGGACAATTCGATTGATATTTTTCAAAACACTTTCTATCCAACAAAAACTCCCCATACATGGCGTCATGTAACAGCGGCCAATGCCAACTTTCTCATTTCAAATGCAACTCCCTGTGTTTTATTCAATTTTTGAATTCTTCATAAAATTCCAGACGTATCTCATCTCGTCTTCAACAGTTTCGGGAATATTGGATCTTTTCAAATGTATTGCAAATTGTTGTCTGAGCACATGCCATTAGTTGTCAGTGTTATAGTCGTACGAATTTCGTTAACTGCATATCAGAAATTTGGTCCATTTAACGGAAATAAGTTGAATGTCTCAAATTCGAACACGTTATAACGTATATTGGCAGTACTTAAAATTCCGCAGAATGTCACAATTATAAGGAAACGTTAAATATACAGGGTGATCCACGTTTCAGTATAATGGACGCCCGCGATATTTTTTTCAAATAGAACACCGTATACACATCAGTGTGTCAGTTATTAATGGTGCGATTCTCTTTAAATTTTGGTAGTGATTGTATGTTAGAATAAACAGTTCCATTCACCATTGGCGTGTGATGTTGAGGGGTACAAAAAAGGCCTTTATTTGGGAAAAGGATATTAGGACCCATTTTAAATAAATAACTTTTTTTATCAGATTCTTCCAGTATCCCCAAAAACTCCCCAATATATTCAAGATCCCAAGAACTAAAATAAAATATTTCAAAATCCCGCTTTTCATGACACCATCCTTAAATCTCAGTTATCAACGATGCGATTTTCTTGAAATTTTGATGGTGATTGTATGTTAAAAAAATAACATACAGTCACCATCACAGTTTCGAGAAAATCGCATCATTAATGACTGAGATTTTGGGGCGTAGTCTTAAAAAGCAGGATTTTGAATTTTTCTTGAGATTTTGAAAATATGAATTGGGGGGTTTTTGGGGATGCTGATTCTGAATCTGATGGAAACAGTTATTTAAAATAAGCCCTTATATCCTTTTTCCGAATAATGGCCTATTTTGTACCCCTCAATATTGCACGCCAATGGTGAATGAAACTGTTCATTCTGCTAAATACTTCATTGTTCTAACATACAATCACCACTAAAATTTCAAGAGAATAGCATCATTAATAACTGAGATAGGTATATCAGGGTGTATTCATGAAAAGCGGGACACACTGTATATTATTGAATTTTTTTAAAATCTCCATGGAGAGCAAAATTAGAAAATATTTCACACATAGGGTTTGCAAACAGTGCGCCCGTTGAATTCAGTGCTCTCGTATAGTAGAAAAACATCGTAAAAATGCAAAGGAACAATGGAAAGGACGCCCGAAGCCGTCGAATTCCATTGCCATTTGGGCATTCTTCCAAATTTAATTGATACATACAGAATGATTCGTGTAGAAGAAATCATTCGTTTACATTTCACAATCCACTATCATTTACACGAGAGTTCTGAATTTAACTGACGCACTGTATACAAACCCTATGTGTGACAATATATAGTTTTGAATCCAGCTTTCCATAGACATTCTAAAAATTTGATGATAAAGGGTGTCCCTGAAAGGTCTGTACAAACTCCTAGCATATATTCCTGAGGTCATAATAAGCCGATTTGAAGCAACTTACCTCAGTCCGAAATAGAACCGTTTCCGAGATACAGTGTGTAAAGTTCAAAAATAAAATTCGATTTTTTTCGAAATTCATGGACTTTTTTTCACGGAAAATTGGCATTCTGGGTTTTTTTGGGATGCGAAACCCGAATGCAGACATCTTTTCACTGTGGCCATTAGAGAGCGCTTACTAATGCACTTCTTATGGTTAAGAATGGTCATAACTTTTTTCTCAGTGTAGTTTTCAACTTTTTTTGTTGCGGAAGTAATTTTATGTACGCTTTCAAGCAAAAAAGATACTCTTGTGGAAATCCGTTGATGTAAGCCATTTTCGAGATATTTCGGTTTTTAATGTTCGATGACGCATCGGAAACATGCAAATGCAAATGCATTTGAACTTTGAGAAAGTAGATGTAATTTGTGGGAGGCCATTGTAAACTTTGAGAAAAAAAACGCAGTATGATACTGCCCTTTCAAACGTTGGTGAAGACACAGGTACCTATTATAGGTACTTATTGAGAAGTATATGGGCGGGTATTTCAAATATGATTCCTAATTATTCATCACTTTTTCAATTCCTCAGAATTCATCTGACATCTTGAAATAGTATATTAAAGTATAAATGGATATTAGAGAGTTGAAGTGTTGTTATGAACGTTAACGTAAACGTAGAAGTTGACAGCTATGCATGCGCATTTTCCAATTCTTCACGTTTGCGTTGTTAGTGGGCTTACGGGTGTACGTTATCTCACGTTCCTTCGCGTATACCTTAAATATCAACGTACGTTAACCAAACTATACTCGAAATATGCCGATGAGTCAAAATTATCAAATTCGAGATCACCAACGAGTTCTGCATCAAGGAGTCCAAAAATTTTGACAGGAATAAATGTTCGAATCTAAACACACAACCAAAAATGACCAATACAAACCGAAAACAAAATGTATCATTACGTTATGATGACAGTGACGACCAAAGTGGCGACTTCAACTCAATTTAACGACAATACGTAAACGTTATTTTTCGTACGTTAACGTCTACGTGGAGGTCTACGTACAGTGATTACTTCAACTCTCTATTAAGGTCATTCAAACACTCGCGTTTTTTTGTTAGTGCACTTTGAGATTATAAATATGGAAATAACAATAGGCCTTTTCATTTAGTTGTGATTTTAACAGACATGCGCTGGATCTCAGATCCAAAATTTGGAGGGGTAAAGCGAAGTCTCATTGGCTATAGGTCCGACACAAAATTTGATTGGCCCATTCGGTTTTTATTGATTTTCTATCGATTGTCATTTGTCAACAGTGTCGACCACCAGAGGCGTTCGTCAACCATCGTTGCCAGACCTACTATTTTAACAGTAGATCTACTGTTTTTGTCTCCGTTCTACTAGAGTCCCTGTATATACCTTAGACAAGAGTCCGGACACAAAACTGACAGCCGTTGGGGTTTTTGATATTTTGTTCCATTTGGTTTGCCTACCTGACAATGAGACAAAACACCATAGTCGTCCCGCCCGCTTTTTTTAATAATTTCGAATTTCTGTCACTGTCACTTTGAAATTTAATGACAGCCAAAATTCAGCATTTTAAATTATTTCAATGTCCTGCTGCGTACATTATTGCAATAATTCATTAGAAAAGTCATTCAAGTTATTCAATTTTCCGAATGATCCTTTAAAGATAATGTCATGGAAGAATGCAATGAAACGTCCAGAATGGAAAATTAATTTCAATGAATCCGCAATATGTGAGGTAAACAAACAAATTTACTTGTAGAAACAGTACAAAAAAGATGAATTTTAGGCCCATTTTGATAAAGACTCTTTCAAGCTGATGGATTTCAAATTGAAAGAGGCCGTCAATTTATGAAATAGAGACGTTCTAAAAAAGAGTTCCGTCGTCATCGTATTGGGAATTACTGAATGATACGATCGCAGAGAAAGAAAATGAAAATGAGATGATGCGAAAAGAAATTGAAAGTTTGAAATCAAAACTAGAAGATTTAGAGAAATTGCAATGTGCTATGTCATCACTCCACGGCGTTTTCAATTCACCATCGGAGGAATCCTAGACGATATAGGTACCTAGATATGATTTCCATTATATCTACCATATAGTACATGTACCATGAGTTTAATATAAGTATAGTTATTAGGTGTATATAATAGTTTATTAATTGGATCTTTGACATATCATTGTGAGATAAATATAAAAATCAATGTTTATAAGGCATATAGGTATATAAAGTTATATTGTTGTTTTGATTTTGTCACTTTCATTTCTGCTGAGTGTTATTATGTTTATTATCTTTCTTATATCTAATGAAGTGAATAAATATCTGATGACGAAAATTTGCAATAGCTATCTCAAGAATTGAACACCCTGTTGTTCATTATTTGAAAATCTAATAGTTATTCTTGTTAAAATAGCCCTATTTCTCACTTCTACATACGGGTATGAACGGTTTGACTAATAATCTAACCCTCAAAATTGTTTCTGACAATCATTGATACTAGGGTAATTGAAAAGACAGAGCTCGATATATATGTCTTATTCCTTTATTCAATCATCAATGCATTTTTTGAAAACAGAAAAGGACAGAAGTATAGCTGTGTCCGAACTCTTGTCTAAGGTATATACAGGGACTCTACGTTCTACCACTCTACTGTTCAAGGCAATGGCCTGAATGGTCATGTTATAATATGACATAACTACCTATATAATATTTAACAATGAATAATTATTGTGGCATCACAGTAAGAAGATGTATGATAAAAATATACCGGAATAATCATATTCAGTCAGATTAGTAAAAAATTAGATTTCATTTTCAGTTCGGTTGAGGATAATACAAATTTTATTTCTCATTTTATTATTTTTTGTTATCCTTTGTTCGATTTTTAATAGGTATAGAGATCAACCATAATCATGTTTTCGTTCAATATATAGGTTTCTATATTTTTTTCATCTGGCAACACTGTCGTCAACGTCAATCGTCATTGAGATTTGAGAAATGGAGTCTTGGTATTTTCGTTTCTAGTTTCTATATTTCATAATTTTCAATTACTATTCCTGGTGTGTATTGATTGTATTGTGATAATTCAATTAGGAATAAACGTGACTTATTCCTTACCGAAGAGTGTGGTGCAAGTTTTTTTGGTGAAAATGGTTTTGACATGTTTTGTTTGTAGCGCGGAGTGGAGTAATAGAAATAATTTCCGTTCATTTCACAGGTGAGTTTGATACCTTCATCCATTCCACTTTTCCATCATCTTAATTATAGATTTCATATATGAATTGATA